GGATATCAATTGTCAAACATTCCATTTCATTTTTGACAACTTCCAGTTTTCCTTGATTCAAACTTCATACATTCCACATCCCAGTTACTAACGGATATTTACAGCTGTTTCTTCTCATTTTGAGTTGGGCCACATTGGTAAACGAAGATCCTGATAGCTTTACTCTATCCACATCATTAAGGGTAACTCTACTTTGAGGAGGCAGATCTTCTCCCAAGTTGTATTTTGATTGCCTTCCAACCTGAGAGGCTCATCTTCCAGCACTATATCAGATAATGTTCTGCTACTATCCATAAGGTTTTCACTGGCTAATTTTTTTTGGAAGTAGATCAATCACCAAGTCCTTCTTCTTAGTCTTAGTCTGGAAGCTCCACTGAAACCCATCCACCTGGGTAGCCCTGCTGGTATTTGAGATACTGGTGACATAGCTTCCAGCATCACAGCAACATGAAAGCCACTCCAGTGCAACAAACTGACAGGCAAGTGGTGGACTGTGGCATTAGTAACCACTAACAGCTGCATTCTCAGGAATTGCCAGAAATTGAAGCCGGATACAAAAAAGGACATAGAATGAGGGATATCATTGATGATGCCAGATGGATCTTGGCTGAAAGCAGAGAATACCAGAAAGATGTTTACCTGTGTTTTATTGGTTACACAAAAGCATTTGACTGTGTGGATCATAACAAATTATGGGTAACATTGTGAAGAATGGGAATTCCAGAACACTTAATTTTGCTCATGCAGAACCTGTGCACAGACCAAGAGGCAGTCGTTCAAACAGAACAAGGGGATACTGTGTGGATTAAAATCAGTGTTGTATCCTTTCACCATACTTATTCAATCTGTATGCTGAGAAAATAATCCAAGAAGTTGGACTATGTGAAGAAGAAGGCAGCATCAGGATTGGAGGAAAACTGATTAACAACTTGAGCTATGCAGATGACACAGCCTTTCTTGCTGAAAGTGTCGAGAACTTGAAGCACTTACTGCTGAAGACCAAAGACTACAGCCTTCAGCATGGATTACATCTCAACATAAAGAAAACAAAAATCCTCACAACTGGTCCAATAAGGAACATTATGATAAATGGAGAAAAGACTGAAGTTGTGGAGGACTTCATTTTACATGGATCTACAATCAATGCCCATAGAAGCAGAAGTCAAGAAATCAAATGACATACTGTATTAGGCAAATCTGCTGTAAAAGAGATCTCTAAAGCGTTAAAAAGCAAAGATGTCACTTTGAGGACTAAGGTGTGCCTGACCCAAGCCATGGTGTTTTCAATTGCCTCATATGCATACAAAAGGTGGACAATGAATAAGGAAGACAGAAGAAGAATTGATGCAGTTGAATTATGGTGTCGGTGAAGAATACTGAATATACTATGGACTGCCAGAATGAACAAATCTGTCTGGAAGAACTACAGCCAGAACGCTCCTTAGAAACAAGGATGCGAGACTTTGTCTCAAGTACATTGGACATGTTAACAGAAGGTACCAGTCCCTGGAAAAGGACATCATGCTTAGTAAAGTTGAGGGTCAGTGAAAAGGAGGAAGATCCTCAAAGAGGTGGATTGACACAGTGGGTACAACAATGGACTCAAATGTAGCAAAGATTGTGAAAACCAGACAGAGTTTCATTGTGTTGTACCTAGAGTTGCTATGAGTCAGAACCAGCTTATAGCACCTAACCACAGCAATGGCATTTGACAAATTTCCTAGGTGGTGAAAACTGTTTGCACTTGACTAGTAACTGAAAGATTGGCTGTTTGAACTCACCTGTGGTACTGCGAAAGAAAAGACCTGGAGATCTACTTCTGTTAAGATTATAGCCAAGAAAACCCTGTGGAACAGTTCTACCATGTAACACATTGGGTCGCCATGAGTCGGAATTGACTGGACCGACACTAAGAACAACAAATGTCATTTGACTCTATGAGCCACTTCCTTCTTGAACGGCTCTTTCCCCCTGTACTTGGTGATATCAGCCTCACGTTGGTCTCTTACTTTCCTTGCTCCATTTCTCCTGCCTATGCCTTTAATCCTGGTGATGCTCCGTCCTCTTGTCCCCTTATTCCACATTATTTTTCAGGACAATTGTCATTTCCTTTCATGGGACTATATGCTGATTTCTCTCAAGCCTATATCTTTATTTCAGACCCCTCTTCTAAGCTCTAGAACCATAGACTTACCAGTAGGCAACTCAAGTTAAGTGTAGTCATATTTTTTCTGCAAGAATGGCGAGATTTCGTCTCATGTACTTTGGACATGTTATTAGGAGGACCAGTCCCTGGATAAGGATGTCATGTTTGGTAAAGTATCAGGTCAGAGAAAGATAAGAAGACCCTCAAGGAAATGGATTGACACAGGGGCTGCAATGATGAGCTCAAACATAGCAACAATTGTGAGCATGGCACAGGACTGGGCAATGTTTTGTTCTGTTGTACACGGGGTGGCTATGAGTCAGAATGGACTTGATGGCATCTAACAGCAAAACAACATCTTTTTTGGCAAAATTTCTTATATTCCATAACGTGATTGATTTCATAGCACAGTCATCCAAACCAAAAACTGAAAGTCATAAGATACTTTATCAGTCTCTAAGTCCTAAGTCATATCCAATCCCTCATCTTTATCTCCATTTTTGCTGCTCAGGTATTAAACATTTCCCCTGTTGATCACACCATATCGTTGCTTAAAACTTTACAACGCTGTTCCATTGGTGAAGATAAGGTCTGAAGAACTTTGTATTACCCACAAAACTTACTTACTGCTTATCTCTCTCATTAAGTTGCCTACTGTTCCACTGTCGCCTTTCCCAGTCCTATCTTCTACCCATATTAGACTACACTGACATTTATCCAAAGGTGCCATGTTTCCCTTTCCTCTCATGTATTTCACGTACTCTTTCCTCAGCCACTCACATTTTTCTGACTGAAGGGCCTGAAAACTCAGGTCAATCCCAATGTGTCTTTGTCAGTTTCATTGACACCACCATGCCTGCCACAGACTTGAACATCTCTTCTTCACTGCCTCGACTATTTCATATATGTATATTTGTACTGTAGCACTTACTATATTTCATTACGAGTCTGTTGATTTGCCTGTCTCCTGGATTCCTTCATGATAGGGACTGTACTTTATTTATGTTTGCTTCCTCAGTCTTCAGCAAAAAGTGATGTCTTCACAGAAGATGCTCAATAAATATTTCATGAATCAGGCAAGAATGTATAAAAACAACGTCTCATATGCAAGAGAGGACCTGTTGCACAACCATTCCTCATGAACTCATGTACATAAAGGCGATTTTTTAATGTGAGTCTGCCAGTGTTACTGAATGATTGAATCACTTATCTAGTAAATACTTATAGTTCACTGGTAGTTTCAACCACTGAGAGGATATAAAAACTAGCATTCCACATGCTTTGAGAAGACTACTATTGCAGTAAAGAAAGCAGAAATATTACATTTTGTTAGTAATTCCAAGAGCTGTGTGTAGAGTAGACTGAAGAATGGTTGAGCCTGAAGGCAAACACCAGTGATGAGGTTTTGCTGTAACCCAGTGAACTTTCGAGTGTCAAAGCCTCTCCTCGGGTTGGACCTCCCCTTACCTCATTTCAGCATGGGAAGGCTGGCATACCGTTACTGTGTCTGACCAAGGCGACCCCACACAAGTGTTACTGCAGACAAGAGAATGGACAGGGCACATGCAGGCGCACACGTTAGAAAGAACTTGTGGTATGTTAAGGACAGACAAGTTAAGCATGATGCAGGAAAGGTATGTTTGGGGATCACCTAGCCTTCTAATATTTTTCCTTCCACAAAGGACTATAGGAGCCCTGGTGGTGCAGTAGTTAAGAACTTGGCTGCTAACAAAAAGGTTGGCAGTTCAAATCTGCCAGCCACTCCTAGGAAGCCCTATGGGGCAGTTCTACTGTGTCCATTAGGGTCGCTGTGAGTCAGAATGGACTCGACAGCAACTGGTTTGGTTTTTAGGTTTAAGGAAGATGAGTTTCTTTACCTCCTCCCTTTCCAAAACCTGCTCTCAGAAAATAATCTGAAGTTTCTCTACTGTGAATTATAGACTATTGTAAGTGGTAGCTTAAAGATTATTAGCTCAGGGATTCTTTATAGAGGATATTCCTATCTAAACAGTAAAGAATGACTCAGGATAACGTTCTAAATAGCCAACTGATGCCTGGGGTTATGTTGCAGGAAATATATAAAAATACAAGCAGCCTAACTGCAGCTCCTAAAGTTATTCCAGGAAGGCAGTTATTCACCAATTTGAGCAACAGGGGGGAGGAGAAGAAAAGGTCAGGGAGGAGAAAAGATCAGACGAATAGAACTTCTGGGTCAGCGGCCAATTAGCCTTGCAGGCAGTGCTCAGGGGAAGAAATTACACCGAGTGGTGTTTGTCAGAATCTTGAGTTTCGTAAATATTTTGGTGTGGACGGCAAAAAAAGAAAAAGCGAAGGAATGTGTCCTCATTTGTCCTTTCTACTCGAGAATATTTTTGATGTTTAAGCCTTTCGTGCCCTCTAATAGGAGAAACTGGTTGGGGGGTGGGGCGGAGGCAAAAGAAAGGGGGCTGGAAGGACTCTCAGAAATCCTTTTCGGACACCGGCTCCCCTGACCCCCTCCCCTTCCTTCGCCCGGAAGGCCTGCGGAGGGTCTCTGGGCGGGCGCGGGGAGGAGCCTCTGCAGCATCAGCAGCGCCTCAGAGCACGATGGGAAAATCCTTCCTCTCTCGGACATGGAGCTCCCCTGCCCGGCGGCAGCAGCCGGCTCTGGCGCCGAGGCTCCACGGTCAGGGCAGAAGAGCAGCCCCAGCTTCCGACGCGGTGGGGAAGGAGGTAGAAGTGGTGGCGGCGACGGCGGCGGAGGCGGCGGCCCCGCCTGAGGGGCCTAGTCTTAAAGCTGAGGGCGCGCTGCGACCAGGACACAGGCGGGCAGGGTGCCGCTGCGGCGCGTCCCGGCCCCCGGGTCGCAGCAGGCATGGTATCCCAGGCGCTGCAGCTGCTCCGGCAGGGCGTATGGGCCGCGCTCACCGGGGGCTGGTACCACGACCCCGAGCAGAGCAAGTTCACTAACAGCTTCCACCTCTACCTGTGGCTGTTCCTGCTGCTTCTGCCCCTGGCCCTGCACCTGGTGAGTGAGAGGTTAGAGCTGGGGATATGTGGGGGTGGAGGGAAGAAGGAGAAAGGAACTAAAGTGTTGACAGTGATTCTTAAGAGGTGGGAGGAGGGTCTCCAGGAATTTGGAGCAGAGAAGTGCAAGGAAAGGGGACATAAGGGATTCACTGGAAGGAAGTAGAATGGATTTTGGGGATGTGAGATTCATTAAGAATTGATGCAGAATGTTAGGATGAGTGAGAGCCTTTAACTCTGCTTGTCATTGGGAAATGTTGAACCTATTTTGTAGATGGACAACCTTAGGCCTCTTGGGTGGTTAGGTTGGGATAATATTTGGTATAAGATGTTTAGCAGCCAAGAGGCAAAATGAGATGTAAAAAGTGAACCTATTTCAGTTGGTGATCTTTTTTTCCCTCTCCCTCCTTCCTGTTTTTCTTGGAGAAGGCAGACTTAGTTATCAAATGGTCAACTTGCAATTTCTATACCACTATATAATGAAATACGTAGAAACATATAATACTGGATAAATCTAAAGCACTTTATCCTTTTAATACACTGTATGCTAGACAAAGTATTACAGCACCTTGCTGGGATCTGGCAGTAGATTGGTAAGTGATTTATGGTAAGTGAATAGCTGCATAACTGACATTCTTAGGGAATTTAAACATACCTAATTGAAACAATTGTTAACCTTATTTGAAAAGCTTTACAGCTTTTATAAGGTGTCTGTGTGTTATTAAACTTTATGTGCTAGGAATCTAATTTTGATATATCTCTTGAGGAACTTTATTTCTAAAACATAATTTGGCCATGTTCTACACAGCAAATTTTCTTCAATGAGTTTGCATGGCTGGCAGATTTCTGAGACTCTCCATGATTTGGCTCCGATTTACTCTCTTTCGAGCAGTTTATCCAGAGGGTAAGAGTAAGAACTCTGGTTCTGAAGTCAGGCTGCCTGGGTCAAGTTTCGAGTCCACTTCTTCTTTGACCTTGGAGAAGTTACTCACCTTATCTGATTTTTAATTTTCTTATCTGTAAAAATGAGAAAAATAATAGTACCAGATTTATGGGGCTGTTTTGGTTATTAGATGAGATTATACATGTAAAGCTATATTCCTGACTTTGCCTGAAGCACTGGACTCAGACCTGGGTTTTAATTTCTGTTCTGCTACTTATTAGCTGTTTGAACTATCTGAGCCTTAGTTTTTTCATGCTTAAAATGGGTGTGATAAGGATGACTTCACAGGAAAATTAAATGAAATTGTATATATCAATGTATTCATACAGAGATGGATCCGTGGGGCCCTTCAGTAAATGGAAGGCTCCTTCTTCTTCTATGGCTTTGTTGATCGTTTTTCCTTGATCTCTAAGTCCTGATATTTTTCCTTTGCCTAGAGGGGCAGTATAGCACAGTGACCAGGAACACAGGCCTGGGTTCAAATCCTGATTCTGCTGATTATTAGATGTGTGGGCTTGAGCAAACTTCAACAAACTTCAGCTTCCTGCTTTGTACAGCAGGGTAGTAATAGTACCTCCCTTATAGGCTGGATATGAGCATTAAATTTATTAATGTATTCAGGTACTTCTCAGTACCTGGCAAATGATGAAGCTCAGTCCAAGCTAGCCTTTTTTCCCTTCCCCATCTTCCCCGCTTTCACTTGCCATTCTTCACAGCCCAGCTTCCCTGATCCCTGCAGCTAGAATAATTTCTCTTCTCTGTTGCTCTTCTACCATTTCTGTAATTACTGTTAATATTAGAGCACTTTTTGAATTCTGCCTTGAATTGAGTTTTTGGAGCATGTGTTTTACCTCTCCCCCAGATCATGAGCTGTTTGAGGGCGTGGATTTTATATATTCATCCTGGTTTTCCATGTCACACCCAGCAGAGTTCCCTGCATTTGGTCAACACTGATGTCATGTAGAATGATCTGGTGGAAAATAAAATCAACCCACATCTCTTTCTCTTCCAACCAGCATTTATTGTCTACCTCACCTACATATTTTCCATAAGAATATCCTGATTATGAAAGCAATATGTATTCTATCCATAATCCCACTCCTCAACAACTACCACGTTAGCATTTAAAGTATGTTCCTATAGATTTTTTTTTTATGCGTATGGGCTAAGTTTAACAAAACTACACCTAAGATTTGATGTATACGTAAGATCGGAACCCTTAACTTCAACTAATTATGCTTTATTGAGTAGGATTTTGTCCTTAGTTAAGTTTCTCATTTATGATATTTATAATTAACTTTTGGCTAAATCTCAAAATTTCAGAAAGTCAAGAACTGGTAATTTTTACTTATATTGGACTTTTTAAAAATCAAAACAGTTATACTAACATTTTTGTATCTTTATGCCAGTGTGCTTTTAACTATTACAGAATAATTTTTGTGAGTACATTTATCATTGTATTGCTTTCTTTTTCTTTTATTATGCTTTAGGTGAAACTTTACAGAGTAACTTAATTTCTCATTAAAAAATTAATACACACACTGTTTTGTGACATTGGTTGCCAACCCCGTGGCGTGTCAACACTTTCCCCTTCTCCACCTCAGGTTCCCTATTTCCATTTGTCCAGCTTTTCTGTTCCATCCTGCCTTCTTGTCCTTGCCCCTGGGCTGGTGTGCCCATTTGGTCTCATATACATGGTTGAACTACGTGTGTTGTTGTTGTTTTTTTTTTTTAATAGGCCTGTCTAATCTTTGGCTGAAGGGTAAACTTCAGTACTGAGTTAAAAGGGTGCCTGGGGGTATATTAGTTTTTCTTTTTTTTTTTTTTAATTGTACTTCAGGTGAAGGCTTGCAGAACAAATAGTTTTTCATGAAACAGTAGTACACATATTGTTTTATGACATTGGTTAACAACCCCACAACATGTCTACCCTCTCCCTTCTCGACCTTTTTTTTTTTGGTGAAAATATACATAGCCAAAAATTTTCAAAAATTTCTATATGCACAGTTCAGTGACATCGACTACGCTCTTCCAATTATGCTGCTATTCTCACTTTAGATGAAGGCTTACAGAACAAAATAGTTTCTCGTTTAACAGTTAGTACACATGTTGCCCTATGACAATGGTTAACAACCTCACAACACATCAACACTATCCTTACTCAGTCTTGGGTTCCCTATCACCAGCTTCCCTGTCCCGTTCTGCCTTCTCTCCCTTGTCCCTGGACTGCTGTACTTCATTAGACCCATTTGGTTTTATGGGGCTGTGCACTCCCAGGCTGAACGGTGAACCTCAGAGATGACTTTACCACTGAGCTAAAAGGGTGTCTGGGGGCCATACTCTTGGGGTTTCTCCAGTCTCCTTTAGGCCAGTAAATCTGGTCTTTTTTTTGTGAGTTAGAATTTTGTTCTACATCCTTCTCCATCTCTGTCCAGAACCCTCTGTTGTGATCCTGGTCAGAGCAGTCAGTGGTGGTAGCCGGGCACCATCTAGCTGTACTGGACTCAGTCCGGTGGAGGCCTTGGTAGCTGTGGTCCATTAGTCCTTTGGACTAATCTTTTCCCTGTACCCTGTTCTCTTCATTCTCCCTTGCTCCCGAAGGGATGAGACCAGTGGAGTATCTTAGATGGCCGCTCACAGGCTTTTAAGACCCCAGACACTACTCACCAGGGTAGAATGTAGAACATTGTCTTTATAAACTGTGTTATGCCAATTAAGCTAGATGTTCCCAGAGACCATGGTTAGTTTTTTATATATAAAAAAGGGTAACCTTTCTTGCTCTGATCTTCTGGTCTCTGAAAGGTCCTTAGAAATAAAATAACCCTTCTCCACCCCCACCGAGGGTTCTGTTCTCCAGATATTGATGCTTAAATATATTCTTCTGCCCTTTGGTGCTACCTGTGATTGTTAGTGTATTTTTCAGTTTGTTCTACTTGTGAGACCTTGGTCCACAAAATGTACCTGGCTGCTCGCTGATAGCAGGGACTTACTCAGTGTTCTATTATTTAATGTGTCCTGACAGTTTCTGTTTTTTGCACAATTTCAGTTTAAACATGTTTAATCAAGACAGTTCCACTGCTGGGAGAAATTATCTTTTAATTTAATGGGAACCTTGAATACGTAAATAATAATTTCATTATTAACAATTGAGGCAAGCTTATTTCTAAGTCCTATAATTTACTTAGATGTGTGGTTAGTAATGTAAAAGGTAATTATTAGCATTTATAAACGATTTTTATATTTATGAGAAATGCTCAAGAATACACAATTAAAAACATTAAGCCAATTTGGATAATTTGGAGTTTTACTTTAATTTGTTATCAACCTAATTTTCTTTTGGTCAAACTGAAAGATGCACCTGTTTTCAGAGATATTTAAACTTTCATTTATTGTATGCGTTCTTGTCCTTATTCTTTAGGTGACCATTGTCTACCTAATGGTGATTCAGTGTAGAGCTTTCAAATAAGAATGCCATGGGGCTGTTTCTGGCCTTGTATAAATTCTGACAGCACCAGGCTTGCAGTCAAAAGATGTTGCTCCTGTTCTGCCATTTATCAATTGTGTCACCTTATGAAAATAACCTCCCTTCCCCAGGTCTCAGTTTTATCTTCTGTAAAATGGGGATAATGGGTTTCATTTTATAGGTTTAGCATCTAAGGTCCAGAGAAATTAGGTTTAGTGCCGAGTGTCATCTAGGTAGTAGGTAGCACGATTGAGAGTTCTAGCTGAGGTCCTGGCTCAGGACTTAGGGATTGGATTTCAGCCAACATCTGACCCTGACATCTGGAGACCTTTGTGCAGGATCCAGCCTGTACAACCTTATGTGACAGGCCTGGTCCACATCACTTGGTTTTTGGTATTATGTTGGTCAGGTTGGCATATCGCTGTTCCCAAAAGTTTACCTCTCATCCTGGTCAGTCCTATTTTTATATTCAAAAGTTTTCACAAGATAGGTATCCTATGCTATTGAATCCCATGGTCCATACTTTCCTTTTCTCTTTGGACTCCTGGACCTTGTTATCTCTTCCTTTCACCCCTGGGGCCATTTTTTTTCGTGG